CCCGTAGAAAGTAATTTACATGATAAACAAATCCAGATCGGACTGCCGGTGATTTGGACGGGGCACGCTAAGGTTAAAAGACATTACGTTAAAGCATTTTATATTTCCTTTGTCACTTTGATAAAATTTTTGAAGGAGCGACCGGTATTTCATGTGGAAATGTGTGACAAAGCGCCGCAAAAACTTGTTTCCAGTGCCGCTCAAATGAATGGACGGCAGCGTACATGTACGATTTTTTTTGTTTTTGAGGGTCAGGCAGCGATCATGCGATGTGACCGAGTTAAATTCTTACTAATTAATTAATATTCTACCTTAGACTTTCAAAGTTCAAAAGCGCTGTGGTTTTGATTTCGAAACCATTTGAAGTGAAGGCGACCGTCGACGGTATGAGTCTTCGTTTCCCATTTCGAGTCTGTCGAGGGTTACAACCCCCAAAAGCATTCCCTTGTAGAAATTCAGTACATTTAAAGTATATTTTATATAGGTGATAAACACTTTAAAAAGTATACTTCATTTGTACTTAAAGTATACTTTAAGTATACTTACCAGAAGTATACTTTAAGTACACAACTTTTCGACACCTAAAAAGTATACTTAAAGTATACTTAATGAAAGTATACTTGAAGTATACTTAATGGAAAGTATACTTCAAGTATACTTAAAATATACTTAAAATATACTTAAAGTATACTCAATGCAATATGTTAATAAATCACTGAGACACGTCAGACTTGGATCAATTATTTTGTAAAATCATTTATTGATATAACAAAAAAAACTACCCCTAACTTAAAGCAATACAAATGTGCTAAGAAATTATAAAAAAATCTATGGCAAATCTTGTTGAAATAGGTTTCCACAACATAAAAATATACATTTTCCATTCCTATCAAAGGAAATCACTGCATTTGATTACCATAATATATTATTCTTCTTGATTTTAGTAAAATTTTCATTGACAATGAGATCATTTCAAGGAAGGTGCTTGTATATTAACAGGTTTCTTTCTGAACTTTCTTTAACTCACTTGTACTTAATAATTATTGCCTAGAACCATCACACAATATTCTTCTTAATTTTAGTAAATGTTTAATAGACAAGAATGATTAGATCTGTACTCTTTGGCTACAAAGTAAATTGTGCCATTACCTTATTAAAGAAATATGTCTACCTATTACGTACAAAAACTGGAACGAAATGCGATCTAAGGAAAACAAGACTTGGGTTTTATATTTTGAATTTACACTGCACTTTAGGCGAAGTAAACAAGCTTTCACTTTGTAAACCTTAAGGCTTAACTCGTGTGTCATTTGCAAATGACTCGCAAAGAAGAATCGATATATATTGAAACGACTGGAACCGATACATTTTTCACCCCAAAACTTACTTGTATCGTCAAAATTCAGTCATGGTGTACTTCTTTTGTTTTCTTTTCAAGTTCCACTCATATTGTACTCGAATTGTGAAGATAAATTAAAGGCAACATTCCAAGCGTATAAATATCTTGAAGACACTCTCTGCAAAGCTCAACGAATGTTCCTTCCAGTCTGTATCGCCCGCCAAAACCATATATGGAAGTTAGGTATGCTGTAAATGATTCATACATGACCGTATTAGGAAATCCACAAGATCCCGTATATGTTCCGACGGTACTGGAAGTCAGCGGTAATTCAAGACCTTCATATATGCATTTCTTTCCTCGAACGTAAAGATGTCCGACGATGAGCGATGGTTTTGCTTCGAGTTCTCGTTCTGTTTCTTAAGGTCCTCGTAAAAAAAGGAGGTTAAACGACCCCGGCCTTAATTACATCCGATATCTTTTACTGCCAAGTGCAAAAATTCCACGAAAGACGTTAAAGAAATGCCCGAAACTGTGCGACTTTGCCATTTCGCCCAGGGATTCGAATCATCGGCGGATGATCTTCTTACGAAGGAAGTCGACTGAACAGCTAATGTGTGTGCCCTGTGTATCTAGAAACCTGTTATATACTTCACCACTCTGAAGAAATCTTTACATGATCTCAACTGTGTCCTTAATAGAAGAAAACTGATTTGATCTGAACATTATTTTGAAGTTAAATTATATATACTTAAAGCATACTTTTAGTATACTTTTGTCTTGTAGTGATTTCAAGATCCGGACAAACCTTCTTAGATCCTCAGATCAGAATGTGTCTTTCAGTTTCAAAGTATACTTAAAGTACACTTTTCTTTGCGAAACTATTTTTCACAAGCACTGAAGTTTGAAAAAGTATACTTAAAGTATGCTTAAGTATTTGAAGTATAAATGAAGTACATTTGCCAAATATACTTCATTTATACTTTTTTTCTGGAAGTACAAACGAGGTATACTTCAAATGTACTTTTTTTCTGAGAAGTACATATAAAGTATACTTAAAGTATACTTAATTTCTACAAGGGTTGGCATGCACTCAAAAAAGAAATATGTGGAGTCCGGCCGACGGGTTTCTCCAAAAATGAAGTATTTAGGAGATTTCCT